GGGTGTGGCTCAGTGGTAGAGCCCCTGCCTAGAATCCCCCAGTGAGGGGCTGGGGCGTGGCTCAGTGGTGGAGCTCTTTCCTAGCATATATGAGCACCTAGCTTTGATCTTCACTATTCCAGGGGTGGAAAGAAAAAGAACAAGAGTTAGGGCAGCCTCCAGCACTACCTTATGGAGAGACCTCACTCTGCCAAGGATGCTCCTGAGACTGGTCAGCCACAGACACTAGCTCCAGCACACACCTGTGCTGAGCACTCTGCCCATCTTCCCCTGCCTGGCAGGCCCTTCTTCCTCCCTCCTCCTTGATCATCCTTTGAGTTGTATCTCACACATCATTCCTTCTGATTCCAGGGCCCCAGCCGCAGGGCTGGAAGCCTGGAATGCACTTCCACAGCCATCACAGTCTCATAAACACCAGCAGTGGCCATTGAAGAGGCTTTTGGGATCACACGTCACTTACTTCACTGTCCTTGGAACCCCTTCAATCTGTGCCACAGTTAAAGAGGACGGAGCTGTTAGCACCACAGTTAAAGAGGACGGAGCTGTTAGCATCAACACTTCACCTTTCCCAGGGCTGCCCTCTCAGAGCGCTGCAAGCTGCCTGGGGACGCCGAGAGTGTGCTTCCTGTCTCCCCTCTGCAGCCAGCCCCAGCACCATCAGGCATTCTCTCCCTTTCCTTCCTCATAGGCCCTAGCCCTGGTCCCTCACTTCACTGATCTCCAGGCAAGAAAGAGTCCCAAAGAGGCCAGGCTCTGTCACTCACCTGATCACTTCGTACAGAGCAAGGGAAAGCCTGAGTTCACAGTGGACCACTGCTGGCCTGGAGTCTGAGTCCAGACACCCGTCTCATCACCGGGCCCACATGTTTACTGCCCCTACCTGGTGTCAGTTAGGTCATGACACCACAGTTACCCTCGCCATTTTAGAGAGGAAACAGATGCCCAGAGTATGTCCAGGGCCACACAGTTAGAAAGTGCCTGGGAATGAACTCAGCTAGCCTGGCTCCCAAAAGACAGCCAGAGTTGGGGCGCGGGGTGGGGGGCACGGGGACTGCTCTGACTGGCATGTCCATCTAGTCCCCAAGAACAGACAAGGTAGCAGGAGAGGCCGGCCTCCAGCATGAGCGTCTCAGTGACCCCCCGGGTGCCTCTCTTCTCTCTACCCATGTCAAGTCCAAAGTCCTGCTCTTTTGCCCACAGGGCTGGGAGGCAGGAATGCCTGGAACTGGGTATGGGGGGGTCTTGGGTCCTTGGGTTCCTGGGTCCCCACAGCCACTGACCTCCTTCAGAACACCTCTGGGTTCCAACACGTATCTCACGCCCCGAGTCCCAAGCTGTTGCCTGAGTGTTCCATGATCCCAACAACCTCATGGAGGGAGTTATTATTATCCGTCCACACTTGACTGCAGGGAAGGGTGGACTGAAGCCCAGAGATGTGATGCTACTTGCCCAAGAGCACACAGCAAAAGCCAACAGAAGCAGCCTGCCTGACTCTACACCCTTAACCGAGATGGTAACAGCAGCAGCCCCCACCTCAGCCCCCAGAAGACGACATGTTGTTGGTTAGCTGAGAAATCCCTGGGACGTGAGGGGAAACTAAGGGACCGGGAAGTTCATATGGGGTGGTGAGGAGATAGCCACACAGAACGGTTGGCTAATAGTTAATCAGACGGACGAGGACTCTGGCGGGGCAGGGTGGTCTTGAGTCTGACAGGAGGACCCCAAGACAGGGAGCTGGGTACAGGCTGGGAGACAAACCGGGAGATGAGTGCTAGGTAGGGCCGAAGCTGGGGTTCAGGGACAGGGGGACTCACCCTCCTTCTTCGCCATGTCAGAGACTCTTGTTAATGATTCCCAGGTTGACCTGTTGGGCTGGGGCGGAACCTAGGGACAGGAACAAGGAGGCACGACCTGGGGAGCCTGGCTTGGCTCTGTCCTGGCGCCCCCAGTCCCAGGCGCTCATCCAGGGAGCAGCTGGCCCTGAGCTGGGCACGGAGCGTGCAAGGGCAGAGGTTGGGAGGGGGTCAGTGGTGGCAATGTGTGACCAGCCACCAGGGGGACGGACACCTGGAGTGGCAAGGCAGAGCCTGGAGGGCCGAGACCAGGGCACTTGAGGGCTGAAAAACTTTGGAGAGTCCTCGGATGTCTGAGCTTGCAGGAAAAGCAGGGTGGAGGTGATCTGGGGTTCCTGGGCTCCCTTGTATGGGCTGGTGGGCGTCAGATTGGTGGGGGACAAGGGGCTCCGCATTCTGCGCCTTACCCTGGGGTCCGCCGGAGATGGTGCGGGTTTGGGGTTAGTCTCCGGGCCTGGGTAGGGGCATGGCGTCCCCACAGCCGCGGGCAGCGCGGGAGACAGAGGTGGCAGCGGCGGCCAGCAGCGTGGGGCCTGCAGAGCCAGCAGCCTCACCTGAGGAGGAGGGGGCTGGGTGGGAGGCGGAGACGGGGCGGGGAAGGGCGGACCCCAGGACTGGCTGCCACTGAGGCCACCTGGCTAATGGGGCGGGGCCTGCAGGGCTTGGACCGGGTAGGCTCAGCCACCAGCCTGGCCTCCCACTTGCAGGGGCACTCAGGTGTGCCCGGAGCCCCGAAGGATGGGATTCTCAGCTGGAGGAATGAGCTGCCAAGTTTTGGCTCCCCTAGGTCCACCATGCTTGTGGCCAGGGAGCCGTCCATTCGCTTTTGCTTCCATGCCGGCCCCCTGCCCTCCTGTGCGCCAGTCCATGCCGCCATGGGCCTCTAGCCTTTCCTGTCCCTAGCGGGGCCCGGCCCCTCCCCCAGCCACTTTCCTACAAGTCACGGGGGCTGGTTTGTTTTGGCAGCCGCTGTGCTGCCTGCCCAGTGACCTCTGGAGCCCGGAAAGTCCTGATAGGGGGATGGGGGGCTTGGCCCTGAAAATGCAACACCGATTGCCCAGGCCCAGGCCAAGTGGCCGGAAGTGGCTAGACGCAAGTGCAGCCCAGTCCCACCAGCAGCCAGGTGCCATGCGCGTCAGACCCCAGACCCGGAGCCAGATAAACACCAGACAGCCCGGAGGCCATCTACACCAGCTCGGTGGCCCAGGCTGGCATTTGAGTCACAACAGCTGTCTCCACACAACAGGCTTGTACCTCCTCCCGACCCAGACCTGAAACCTCGCTCAGGCAGGGGTCACACTGGTTCTGCCTGGCCAATGGGTCTTCCTGGCTGACTTCCTTCTCTCTCTCTCTCTCTCTCTCTCTCTCTCTCTCTCTCTCTCTCTCTCTCTCTTCTGTCTACCTGTCTCTATTTCTGTCTCTATCTCTCTGCCTCCGTCCATCCTTCTAGCTCTGTCTCACTGTATTGCCCTCTCTCTCTCCACCTCTCCAAAACTTTTTTTGGGGGGGGCAGGTGTGTGTGTGTGTGTGTGTGTGTGTGTGTGTGTGTGTGTGTGTTTCGAGACAGGGTTTCTCTGTGTAGTTTTGGTGTCTGTCCTGGATCTCACTCTGTAGACCAGGCTGGCTTTGAACTCACAGGGATCCTCCTGCCTCTGCCTCCCGAGTGCTGGGATTTAAGGCATGCGCCACCGCTGCCCGGCTTCCCCCAAACTTACTCACAGTTCTCAAAGCATAGCAAGCCCCATGAAACGCTAAGGTCCCGTTGCCTGTCCCTGCAGATCCCAAAGCCACCTCTGGACTCCGGTCCCGACTCTTACCCACGGAAAACAATGACTTCCAGAGCGTTGACCCAGCTCTAAGCACTTCATCAGCCCCTGGTGTTACCCTTAAATGTGGCCGAGGCCCTGTCCTTGCCGGGAAGGAGGATTCCCAAGAGACACCCCGAGGTTTTGGGTCTGGGGCTGAGGGGGAGCAGAGGATGCTAATGAGAGAATAGAGACTCGAGTCCAAGAATCTTTATTTCATGAACAAAAACTACTTCTGTAAAGAGAGAGGAGGCCGAAGAGGCCCTTCCCAAGAGACCACAAGTGAAGGCTGGTGAGAGAGGGCGGGTGGGCCAGGGCTAGGAGGTGTCACAGAGAGGGAACCCCAGGTCCAGCCGGAGGAAGCGGAGGGGAGATGAGGCCCGGAACCCCCTGGCCACGACCGTCCCTGTCCCGGCCCCCACTCTTGACCCCCTCAAGCAGGGCTGGGGCCGGCCGGCCTGGCAGTGCGTGTGGGAAGTGGCCTATGTGCAAATCAGCAAGAGAAGGGGCGGGGCCTGCCCCCTGGCCTCACCGCCCCCTCCCCAAACAGGCAGCAAAAGCAGGGTGGGGCGGCCATATTGCTTCACCCATCATGCATGGCGGTGGGAGGGGGGCGGGAGGCGGTGGGTGAGGTGGGATCAGTCCCTGCCCGCTCCCACCCAGGTGGCTCCTCTGCAGGACTGTGAGGTGGGGAGGCCGGTGGGCTGACTCCTATTGCCGCGGGGAGGGTCCCCATCAGGGGCCGATCCCCACTGCCGGGAGAGGGTACCCGGCAGGGCTGGTTCTGCCTTGAGGTGAAGCCCAGGGCCTGCAGGGTAAGAAGTGGAGACTTGGAGACCCAGTCCTTGAACCTTCCTGGCTGGCGGTGCCCAGGCCGGTCCGTCAGCCTCACCAGCGCTATTCGGCCACCTGGACGCCTGTACAGTTCTCTTTGCTCTCGGATGTGATGGCCAGGTATTCCGAGCTGTTCAGGGAAAGGCAAGGCACACGGTGACCCCTGGGCCCAACCCTGAACAGAGTGGGGTAGCTGAGTCCCGCCCCAGGCATGCAGGGCTACTGAGACTGGAGAGAGCCACGGGCTGGGCTGAGCTCCCCCTGAGTCTGAATGAGAGGCCTCTCTGTGACTGCAGGGCGCCTCTGTGACATTCAGGACTCCGCGGAGGCAACCCAAAGACGTGGGTTCGAATCCTGGCTTTGCTACCTGGCAGACGGGTGATGCTCACATTCTCTGGGTTTTCTCATCTGCAACCAGCTACTCTTGTCTCTCTGGCACAGAGGCTCTGAGTGACAGGTGGCCCCGGGCAGCGGCCCCAGCCCCCCTCGGCGGCCCCAGCCCCCCTCGGCGGCCCCAGCCCTCCTCGGCGGCCCCACTCACGCGTTCTCTTGCGCGGCGGCTTCCGTGGCAGTAGCTATCTTCTTGTAGCAGTACACCATCTCCGCCACCAGCCATATAGTCAACACCACGATCAGCACGTACATCATGATCTCCGACACGATGGACGCCATGTCTCTGTTGGCTGCAGGGGCCGGGCAGGGTGTAAGGAGGCGGCAGAGGCTCTAGCTCAAGGAGACACGACAGACAGCCCCAGGGTGTGAACCGCTTGCTGTGTTCAAGCTCTGCCAGCCTGGGCCGCAGACAAGGTCGCTGTGTTGGTTCCTAGAGGCTGACAGTTACTCTGACAGGGGCAGGGTGCTAGGATGAGCCTAGGGATCGCTGTCAACTTGCCTCCCTGTGGCATTTGTGACATTTAGGAGGGGGCACAGGCTGTGCTGACAGTCTGTAACTCTGCAAATCAAAAGCCTTGGGGTCACTCTGCAGGCTGTGTGACCTTGGAAAGGTGACTAAGCCTCTCTGAACCTCTGTTACCTCCAACAGAAAAAAACAAACACAAGATGAGTTTCTCGGGACAGTGACTCTCAGCAGGTGTTCTTATTACTGTTGTAATTGGGGCCACTCTGGGTCTGTTGTTGGGGTTTGAACTGGCTTTGCTTTTTTTTTTTTTTTTTTTTTTTTTTATCTTTTCTCCTTTGAGATAGAGTATTTCTGCATAGCCTTGGCTGTCCTGGAACCAGCTCTGTAGATCAAGCTGACCTTGAACTCACAGAGGTCCGCCTGCCTCTGCCTCCTGAGTGCTGGGATTAAAGGTGTGCGCCACCACCATCTGGCTCTGGCTTTGCTTTTTATTAGCTGTGCAACCTCAGGCAAATGACCCCCTCTCTGAGCCCCAGTGCCCCTCTGTCAGATGAGGACAAAACCACTCGGAGTTGCTGGGCAGAGGCAACAGAGGAACACAGAGCATGGCAGCCAGCATTGCCCGGCATTGGCTGTTTTCGGGAAGCCTCCCCGCTTTCCACGGCGCTGGCCTGCCTCTCCTGCTTCCTTTCATGGGGCCTAAATTTAAACTGTAAAGGGAGCGTGTCCAGCTAGGGGACTGGAAAGGAAGGACACTTTGGCACATGTCCTCAGCCGGATTTGGCTGGTGTCCACCCTACATCCCTGGCCCCCTTGGTAGCCCGGATCTCATTCCCCTGCCCCATGCCCCACCCCTGCTGGCCCGTGAGGTCTTCCTCTCCTGTGAGCCTTGTGCTTGCCACCCTGCCTGGACAATGTTGCTGTTTCTGGGTCAGAGGAAGGGAGGGCAGGGTGCAGGGCTGGATGCTCCCCCATTCGTTCGTTCATTCGTTCATTCATTCATTCATTCATCAGCCATTACACATGCCATGAGTGACCCCTCTCCACCTGACTCTGTGCTAAATTACTTTGTTTGAGACAGAGACTCCCTATGTAGCCTAAGCTGGCCTCAAACTCACAACCCTCCTGCCTCCACATTCCAAATGCTGAGAGTTAAGGCATGCCACAAGCACATTCCATTGGGTTGTCTTTTCTATCTACAGCCCATTTTCCAGAGAAGGACTCCAAGGCCCAGAGACAGCTCAGTGCTGAGCCAAAGATGCACAGCCAAGATGGGCTCAGAGCTGGCTGGGGCTGGACTCCAAGCATAACTGTTCAGAGGGGCCAAGGCGAGCCCCAGAACAGCTGATGAATACCCAGGCCATCCTCAGCAAGCCATGGGGCATCTCAGGAGGAGGAACTGAGGGGTCCTCACTTTACAGATGAGTTGAGGCCAAGGAGAGCCCATCGAGTCACACGGAGGGGCAGTGGCTCCTTATAGTGGCTCTTTGAACACCCCCACCTTTCCTGAGGACTGAAGCCAGACAGAGCCTTACACACGCTGGGCGAGAGCTCTACCACTGAGCCACATCCCTCTTTTCATTTTGTGATGGAGTCCTGCCATCTTCCCCAGGCTAGCCTTGAACTCTCTCTACAGCCCAGGCTTCCATCTCAGCCTCAGCGGGGATGACAGGCCAGGGACTCCACACCAGGCCTTTGCCTTCTTAAGACAACAGGGGTCCTCTAAGGCTGCCTGTGGGTCCACACAGCAGCCCTTCTGTGGGCCAGAGTCCCCAGCAGCCTTAGACACTGTGAGGTTCAGATTCTCCTACGTGCATTACTGCCGTCTCCTGTGGTGCCCTCCTGCATCCTGCCACCTTCCACAGCCATCCTGGGAGGGGCCTCCTCAGCCCTTCATCCATCACTCTGCTTTTGGGTGTGATTCCATGTGTGTTTAGGGGCTACCAGTGGGTGACACCAGGATCCCAGTAAGACAGAGAGTGAGAAGAACAAGCAGACCTGGTAGGGGCCGGGTGGGATGGCTCCCATCTCTAGCCCCCCCGGCACCTGGGCGGCTAAGGCAGAAGTCTCAAACCAGCCTGAGCTGCAGAGAGAGAGGCTGCATCAAAAAGCCCAGAGCAGGTGCCCAGGCTGCACAGTGCTTGCCTAGCATGCAGGGAGCCTGGGGTTTGTGCCCCAACACTCAATAAAATGAGCAAAGTGGCACATACCGGTCATCCTTGCATGTGGGAGGTACAGGAAGGAGAATCAGGAGTTCAAGGTCATCCTTGGCTATATAGCAAGTTGGACATTATATTAGCCTGGGTAACATTAGACTTTGTCTTTAAAAGCCCCAAAAGAATATAAATAAAAAATGAAACATTAAAAAAAATCACCATAGCCAGTTGCCCATGGTGGCACACGCCTTTAATCACAGCACTCAGGAGGCAGAGGCAGGCAGAGCTCTGAGTTTGAGGCCAGCCTGGTCTACAGAGTGAGTTCCAGGACAGCCAGAGTTACATGGAGAAACCCTGTGTCTAGGAAAACAAAATAACACACATCAGTTTTTCAGGTGTGGTGACTCACACCTATAATCCCAGCACTAGGGAGGCTGAGGTAGGAGAATTTGTTTGAGTGGGAATGTGAATCTGAGGTTAGCCTGGGCTACATAGTGGATAATGTCTCTCAAAATAAACATGTAAGTAAGTAAATACCAAAATAGTACAATAATACTATGGCCCTGAGATGGCTCAGCAGGTGAAGGCACTTGCCGCCAAGCCTGACAACCTGAGTTTGACCCTCAGGGTCCATGTGGTGGGAGGAGAGAGAGCAGACTCCCGCAAGTTGGCCTCTGACCTCCACGTGTGCACCATGGCATGCACACGCCAGATGCTTCTCAGACCAAAGAAATAAAAATATAATAAAAATTTAAAGCGGCAGTACTGTGCTTCAACGGCATGCAGAAAATGCTAGAATATGCTAGATTCTTCTGTAAACGCGAGCTCAGCAGAAAGGGCTCTGTGTTCTGAGGACAGTCGCCAGCGCAAGGCTTCAGGAGTTACAACAGGGCGAAGAATGCGGATAAAAGTCAAGCTTTACCGTGGCGGTGCCCTGAGCAAGGGCCCACCGGAGACGGAGACTAACGGCACTCTCCAGCTTCCCCCTCAGAAGCTGGGGCTTGTGAGGCCTGGTTTTGGGGCGGCCTGAGCTCTACTGAACCCCATTCTTGCAGGCAAAACTCCACTTTCTGTGCCCACCACCCACCACGCACCCAGCATGGTGACGTCCCCGTGCCTCCCTCAGATGCGCCTCTCACTTGCCTTCTGTACCACTTTGATGAGAAACATAAAAAGCTAATTATAAAAAGGATCCTGCAGGCTCCGGCTGATGGTGCACGGATGCACGTGAGAAACTGTCTGGGGCTGGGGGCTGTTAACCCAGGCAGGGCTGGGTTCCCATCCACGACCCAGGCAGGTGACTTGGTTGCAGGATCTCATCTCCCTGAGCCTGGGTCTTTGGGTCCACAAAATGGGGGTGGTGAAGCCCCTCCCTCAGATGCTGGTGGGAGAGTCCAGCGGGGACTTTTTAAGAAGCCAGAAGGTCAAGGCACCAGGTTGGAAAATATGAAGTGCTACCGGCCCCTAGGGACCCACTTCCCAGAGTCCTTCACTGCCTCCAGGCTTGGAATAGCTCCCTGACTTTCTAAGACAATAGGACACGGGGACTCTGGAAAATTCCAACTGATGCTAATCAGAAGATGGTCTATCCTGGAATAGTGGAACACGTCTTTAATCTCCCCACTTGAGAGGCAGAAGCAGGTGGATCTCCGAGAGTTCGAGGTCAGCCTGGTCTACAGAGTGAGTTCCAGGACAGCCAAGGCTACACAGAGAAACCCTGTCTCAAAACCCACC